TTCAACAACAACAACTGTTTTCCTTTACGTACGAAACGCGTAGGACTGGTACAGTTTTGTTTTGGAGAAGCGTGTGGAAGAATATTTTCTACCTTTTTGTTTTTGATTTTTGATTTCTGAGTTTTATGTCATGCTCCAGAGTCGGTGCCACGGCAGACTTTGGAGGTTGCTTCTTGATCTTTGTCTTCCCTTTGACAGTCACTTTGGTGAACTTATGGGAGATGTCCTCCAGCAAGGAGTCATCAGAATCGGAATCCGAGTTCACATCCGCAGCTGCCACCTTCTCCGCACGAACAGGTCGGGCTTTGATGGAAAGAAACATAGACAAACAAGTGCGAGGACCAAAGGCTTTGGTAGTTGCCTGTTTCAGCATCCCTGGAATCTCAACTGGACAATATTTGGCCTTTGTCAGTTCCATGAAGTCGTTATGCTTCGAGATCATAGTGAGATTCTCGTCCTTAACCGGACCCACGGCCTTAACGCTGATTGTCCCGTTCTGAGCAGCCTTCCAATCGCTAATGTAATGTGTGACCGTGCACCATGGGAAATCTTTCTTAGGAGTAGACGGGTGCAGCCATAATCGTAGTTCTCGATCCGCTCGCTTAGCGTCCCTCGATCTGACGTAAACGTGCCACATCATGCATCCGGGCGATCGTTCATTCCACTTGCTGCGGCCGCTGTAGGGGATGTTTACCCATTCGTACTGCAGGCCGATAACCGTCTTCCAGTCAAAGTGTCGCATTAATTCTTTCTCCATAGCCCTGATGTTAATTTCCTGTGGATAGAAGCACAGAGCCCCAATCTTTTCAATATCGCCAAACTGTAGAACCGATTCATAGCACCCCGCTCCATACCCTTGCAGACGCAATTCGCCGTGTAGATATTGGCGAATCGTTCCTGCCGCCACATCAACCTCAAAACCCACTCTCATCCTTGTGCGGAGCTTCTTTTCGCCTGGCTTATTAGAAGTCGAGGCATATGACATGCTGCCGAAAGACATGTCCAGATACTTGGACAGGCTCCGGTAATCGGGAATCAGCCGTCAAAGATCCGCCTCCGTTCGGATCCACTGCTTAGACTTCTTGTAGGCACTGTCAGACAAAGGAAGAAAGCGAATCGTCTCCTCTGCGTTCTTTAGGACGTCTGCCAGCGTATCCAGAATATGGTTCAAGATAATAGAGGCATGTGTCGTGTTCCCCCCTTGTTGGCCTTGATAGCTGTACGCCATTCCCAGTTCGACCAGGATAGCCTGACCTTCCATGCCGTCCAAGTTGACTTGTCGCAGCCCATCTAGGCGTTCTTCCAATGTCAAGC